TGTCAAATAGTAACAACGATTCAACTTAGGTCATCTTGAACTTTCCATTTTGCTTTCACATGCGATATGAGAAGCACGCGCAGTATGTGTAAAGCGTCATGTTTTTCATTCTTTCGTCAGTTAAAGTCCGTGAAAACAGGCCAAGGCATTAGCTAACTAGGGCCAGTGAAGCATCTTCATGAACAATACTCATTCAACAAACATCAATGTACTTCAGTTAGTAGTTAATGATTTTGCTCTTTTTAAGAGGGGAACAACACCCACCTTAATCTTGGCCATCTAATCGCCGAACTATTTCGTACTCTTGATCTCATAGATCAGTGACTCATTGTTCGTTGTGTTCTTGTGTGTGCTTTTTCGGTTGTTTAGAAGGCGGCGGTGATGCTGACGATGTTGCTGCAGTGATCTGCAGCGGAGGAATCAATTCAATCAGAGACAGAAAGAAATAAACATGTTGTAGCCGAACAAAATTGACAAAGTCACCAGTTACAGAATTAGAAGCATTGCTACTATTTCAGTGGAAACAGTATAGCGACAGTTGTTTTATGGACCTAGCTAGCTAGCGTCACTAGCCCAGGCCGAAACCATTACAGTTACTACTGCTGCCACTGGAGGGCCAAGCGAGTAAAACTGGATCCGAAGTTGATATCGAAAGTGACGGTAACTTTGCCGTTAGTGATCAAGACGAAAGCGCGGGCGGGACCCGGGGCAAAAGCGTGAATTATTCACGATGTGGCCGACCTTCGCGATTTTGTGCACCCCTGCGCTTTGAACACATCTTGGTCCTCGTTACTGTTAGATCCTGATCGTGGTTGTAATGATAGCAGTTTGCTTACGGTGTCACAAATGGTGGTGTCTAGCCTTCTAACAAACGCCTTGTATCTTTTCCCTTCTCAGTTGTCACTCGTACCTCGTTGTACCCGTTGTTACGATGGTTTTGTGATGCGATATTATTCCGCTCTGCATAGCCGTACATCCATTGGCATATGTAACCAGTAAACAACCCCCAAAAATTTCAGCGATACGAACCTTAGCATCTGCATTCGCACTACTATCAGCCATGTATAGTACAATAAAGAGTGTATTGGTTTGTCCACGGCAGCCTGTCTGTCTGTATTAGCAGCAGCACGACGATCATTTTAAGCTCAGCCTGCACTGGTAGAGACTCGATGGGCCCTTGTTTACTACCAAGGACCCACACCTTCTCCCTCCGCGTCCCTTTCTGTTGGCCTGGTTTGCCGTCCGTCTGGCTGCGCCCATATGTCAGCTATATGCACCAGCAATGGCAGCATCAAATATGGAATCCTCTTTCTCAGGCTTCCGTCATTTCTGGCGGTCACCATCCGTAGTGGCTGCTGTTACTGGTGCTAGAACAGTTCTAGATGCAACAGCTGTAACCGAGTCCCACTAGTAACTATCAGTGCTGTTGCTACTGCTACTGCCCCTGCGATTGATCGGTCGGTCAGTCGATATCGCTCTGAAGCAACAAACGACGGATACACGGATACATATACGCACATAAAGGTAAAAGACTGGCCGGTCGTATCGTTTGATCTTTGTCGTCGCTTCTCCGTTGCCATCGGCGTAACTGGCGGCTCCTTCGTTACCGTTGTCCCTCATAATATTTGCGTCGCTTTTTTTACTTATCCTGTTGCGGTTGTTCTGATGGTAGCACAACGACGTCACCGTGAGCGTCGCCGGCCGCTACTGCTCTGATGACGGCAGCAGCAGTTTTCCCTCCCTGCAAAGAACCCCCACACATTCGTTCGTGCAAGTGTTAATTCATGCGCGCGCTCAGTCTTTCTTGCTTGCTTGTTTGTCGGCTAACCGGCTTGCTCCTCCTTGCTTACTCGTTGCATGAATCATTGTTGCTTACTTTCCACTGGAAGACGACGGGTAATGTCCATAACGTGCCAGTATATTGCCGCCTCTTACCGGCCGTTACGGTGACGTTACGGCGGAATCTAATTTGTCAGTTACAGTCGCCACCGTAGCTTTCTACCGTTCACTATTAATTCTACTGTTCATGATTGCATGGACGGATACAACCCGTTTAGTCATTGTCCAGCGAGGTACGTCTGTTGTTGTACGGTTGTTGATTAGGTACAGCACTTGGTCACTCATTAGTTCCGTGGCACCCTCTAACGCCCGCCGGCCGATCTGGCAATTTCGACGACGCTAATGATGGCATAGCTGGTGACAGAGTTTCTGTACTTCTAGCGGAAAGTACGACAAAGCTGCTAGCGCTAAGTAAATCATGGACGATGACAGGGTTCCAGAGTTACGGTGGTCTATTACGCTATTGTTGGCCTGACGCAAGAAACATCGCCATCCTAGTACAACGAATCCAGCTCGGCGAAACTCCGCAGGATTGACGCAGTGACAATCACCAAAGGTGCAGTTGTTGTTGTCGCTGCTATAACGCCATCTTTGATGTCATGTACATCATCAGACCAGTGTACCGCTGGTAAACCTCGCGGAAACGTTTCGTCCTGTCACATCTAGCTGAACATCTAGCTAGTTGAACATCTAGCTAACGCCGTAAAAACTGCTATGGCTGCTTCAGCTGGCGCTGGTGGCAGCGTCTGAATAATTTTCGTATTCGTTTCTGCTGCTACGAACGCGATCACATCTGCAACAGCAGCTGGTGCTACAAGAACTGTGAAAAAGATTAAGGTGTTAAGGTGTAAACTGTTGTTAGCCACCAGGCGGAATAAGTTCGCTAACAATATTCTATGATGAAGGTAGCTGTGCGTTGTTCGACATTATCGCCATCACCGAAAATTTCACCAGACAAATTAGGATAAGAGATGACAAGAAGCACTACTGCAATTATACGAAAAGCGAAGGCAAGTCGACTGGATCGGTAGAAACATCGACGAATCGATGGATTTCACTTGTCGGTGTCTGTGTGGCTATACGTTTTCTTTATTTCCGGTTATCTACCCCTCATTCGGTGATTACGATTGCGGCTGCAGCTGTACAGATTGGTGAATTCTGCGGGGATTTATTTCTAATTGGGACAGTTGTAGTACTGCGCAATATGACTAACTCAATGCAGACGAAGCTTTGAGTCAGCCAGCGACAGAAGGTAAAGACAGACAAAACGAGCGAAGCACAAGAGGAGCAGGCGACAATGAAACACGGCTGGGTAAAGAATATAATGAACAACCAAGGAGCAAAGAAGCTGCATTTGCGGTGCGACGCCGACTGCAGAGACAATCGGTTGCCATATTGATTTCTCTGTGCAATTGTTTCTACGAGGAGACCGACACTTGGTTATGTGCTATGGCGTAACCCAAATTAACTATCATAATTTTCGTTAACTTCAGCCTCATCTCTACTATCTAACTTGTTGAGGGCTGGCGAATTGATTCCGATCTACACAACGTTCTCGTTGGTGGTAAAACATTGGGGAGTGGTCACGTTACGCTTCATTCGAACAGCAAATGGCGCCCTAAACGAGGATCAGGTCATTGAACACAGCGTCCAAAGGCCCCGGCGAAGATCTCTTTGAAAAATCGGAGTGACGTTGGTACATACGACTGATATGAATTTTCGTTTACAGCCTTTGTTAAACCCCCCAAAAAAAAAGAAGATAATTATTGCACTGACCGTGTGTATATTGTGCTTGCCCAACAGCGTCTAATCAGTTCGGCTAAATATGGCCGGATACGGATTGTGTCGAACCAGAAAAAAAAAAACAGGACCCGCCATGAACATGAACGTATGATAAATAAACTATAGGCAAGAGATGTAGATAAATGAAGGTTTTGAGAAGACAACGGCCGTCGTTAGAGCTACTACGAGTTTTTGCAGATGCGAATCCAGTTCAGTATACGAAATCCACATGTGTATAGTGGAAACATAATAGCAACAGAGCTCAACAGAATCAAAATATGCAACGGAGTGTTCGAACGATGATAAAACAGTGTTAACAAGCCAACGATTTGTTCTGGATGAAGGCGTCACGCTTGATTCTATTACAATTTCTCGGTTTGTTGTGTGTGTGTGGGTGTGCTTCTTTACCATTAAAAGTGTACGGCCAACATCGGAAGAGTAAAGGGAAATCGTTTTCACTGCTGAACAGGAATTGACACAAATGAGCACCGATTAACTTTTGAACGCGGCTAAGTTGTCTAGCGTAGGATAAGCGCCATGTTAGAGCTCTTTAACCTATTCGCCAAGTAAAACGTACTTCTCCTACCGTCGCTGCTGTCGCAACTAAAAGTTTGAACATCCCAGGCCTAACAATGGGGTCTGGGCCTGTTTCCGAAGGATATTTTACCCGCTTCGATCGCAGGTTTCGAGTACGTTATACGATCAGCTGTGTTGAAATTTTCGACGGAAGACAAACATTGCCTTGTTTTACTTGTTTTATGATGCTATCGATATTGGTCATATTTGCGCTAGCTTTGTCTGTTTACCTGTATCTCAATTAATTTCCCGCGGTTTTCCTTTTGTGTTATTTCTAGTATCGCTAAACTGCGATTAGAAACATCCACATGTGTCTCAAATGCACCCTTAGCATTAGGACGGCTCTACCGCTAACAATATTTGCATAGATACGTGAACACTTTTTTAATCCAATAATAGAATGGAACCGTACGTAGTACCGGTCTTTCTGTTTTGAGTTTTACGTCTGGTATCGCCGTTAGCCATTCAATGAGATAGACGGCTGGCTGGCTGGCTGGCTGGCTCCCAGCACATGGAACAGAACATGGTACTAGCCTGGTTAAATTCAGGTTATGAGCTAATATTAAATTTTCAATAACTCCTACATATTGCCATCGTCAGGAAACCGTCTCCCAGGCTTCATCAAATGACTTCATACATTCAATAAGGAATACCTCTTTGCCAGTTTACAACACTGCTGCTTAGCCATAATCTATCTTTATAGTAAATCCTAACATAGCCCTAAAAACGTATTGTTGTTTAAATGATCATACATTACGTGTAATTTTAAAAACTGTACTTTTGTCTGTTTTTTTTATTCGCAGAGCTTTTTTTCGAAAAAGTCATTCAAGAACAACCCGCTGAAGAGGACAAAAAGTGTTACAAAGCTGGAGAGAAAGCGAACCTCGACCCTGCTTCGAGATCAAGGGTAAGTGTTTACCTTGTGTAATATTTAGTAATCTTTGTATATTTTGTAAGATGTCAACAGTCGTCCTAAAAGGATCGCCCTCTGTTCAAGCAGCGATTAGTGCTATTAGTCACCAACAAATTAGTTTGCCTTCAGAGAAGGGGCCGGGGCATTTGTAGAGGCAGATGCTTATTCTAGATACGATTACCGCCATATCTTTTCATAATAGAATATCACGGTAAAGAAGCGTTTATCGTCGCGCAGAAGTAAATGAGCCTGAAAGTGAATCAAAAAACGCTCTGCAGTTGTCGCCTACTTCTTGTCAATGGCGTCGAAAACGGTGCGGTACGTTAAGGTCGCATTAGGTCATCCGCTACCGAAGACGGAGACCTTTGGCCTTGTTTTGAAAGTAAAAACAAATTCATGGTATTCGCCTAAGATACAGGCATGGTCAGAAGGCTCCAGCGGCATTACATTTTAATTATACCTGTGTGCATTTAAAAAAAAAAGTTACCCGTTCATCGATTAAACGATCATTTAATGCCGCCCTTATATCTTCTCTGTTACGCCCAATTGGAAATTCAGCACTGGAACAGACAGCAACAGAAATCGGTCATTGACACCATTCGAAAACGAACTTTTGGCCTGTATTGATAAGTTTATATTCGTTGAAAAATCAGTGTTTGTTACAAACGTTTTTGCACTTTGTTGTTTTGCTACCCGTAGTGTAGTTGTGTCACTAAGTTTTACCGTACAAAAGTTTAGCATGTTGACTCTTCATTCAAGCGTGTTCAAGTGACAGCCAGTGTCTTATGTATATTTGTGAGAATTGTTTACAAAGCCACAGTGATGATTCAAGAATTTCGCATTACTATTTCACAAGGCGTTATACTGTTGTTTATATAGAGTAATTATCTTGGAGAGCGCCTAATGTTTCTTTTGATAGGGTAGCTGATCACGGGTGTCGAACGAATGTCTCCGTAGTTTGAGGGGGTAGCCGTGGCTCATATGCGGATATCGACCCCCTCCCCCCTGTATAACATAGCTCAACGTGACATTCTCAGATGAAACCATTCTGAAGATATAATATCTTATATAATATATAAAATATAATATAATATTAATATAAGTGGTAAATGTTTCTGTCCGAATAGTACTTGCCTTAGCTCATGTTTAGTCTCTATCATACCCTGTCTTCGTTTTATCCAAGCAACAGCACTACATACATGGCTATGGTGTCCAAGAAAATAGAAACGCCAGCGTTACTTGAACGAATGCGTACGTCAAATGTACGGCCGTCGAAATTTTTTTGTGTCAAGTAGATAACTTTGAAGATGGCATTCCGGTGTATTGTCCTACTTCATACCTTGGGCGGCGACATCATCATCACTCAGCGACAAGCTACAAGTACACCGATAAAAGAAGAATTTGAAAGCCTAAATGCACTATTGTTATCAGAGATCGATCTGATTGTTTACCCGTTTGCATTTTCCGTCTGATTCTGAGCTTCGTCAGCCTGGAGCGACTTGAGCATCTTCACAGCATTTGACAAGCCAACCATCTGACTTCACTAACAGTAGCTCAAAAGGAGTCAGTGGGCAAGTGCTTCCAGGAATAAAAATGTCCTATCTCTATTCGCCCTGTAAACCAAAATTCTCGGCTGTGGCCAAATTCACTCTGTGTGCTATTCGTTTTTCTATCTCTGGGTTGACAAGTCTGTTGTTATTAGCCATTGTTAGCACATTTTGCCATAATCTGATTTTCGTTCGATTCACTCGTCCTTCTTTTCAGTTTCTTGTCCTCAAGTCAGCATTGATTAAAAAGGACATCGACGGATGGGCAGTTAGACGTCACTATGACGCTCATGGGATTATCATAAACACGGTCGATCGACCAAATTGACCACCAACGACTGATTAATTAACTCGAGCCGATAGTGAAACGCCCTGTCGCATCTTTTTGTTAGTTGGTTCGGTGTTGCTCAGGTGTTTATTTCTACTACTTTCCATGAACCTGTTAAATCTTTTTCCCGTTTTTGTTTCTGCGGTTGCTGTTCCCAAAAGGTCTCTTGCTTGTCGACAATACTAGCAACAGCGCAAAGGGACCTGGCAAGCTGTAGTCATTAATGAGCGTTAATCTCTCGTTAGACACTTCGGCGCCTAGCGGGTAAAATTAGACCGCGTTTGATCGCTCGATGTCGGCGCCATTCGCGAGGCAGTGAAAGGGGAGAAAGATTGACGTTGTTGATCGACACAGATGACGCTTGCGATAGCCGTCAGCGCGATACACACAGCCCTGCCGCTGTAACTACCGTAAAGGTATCATTGTATTTGCACCTAGCCACAGATCGGCAGGGCATTCAATGATCTATGCGCGTATTTGTTGTATGTGTGCGTCCGTGTGTAAGCGTGTACATCTACGTTTGTGTAGTAGTTGTAACACGGCTTTGTAAACACTCGTCATTAAAAAATAAATCAATGAATTGATTTTCTGCTGATCCCCTGCCTATCCAGTTGTATCCTGTTATCGCTGGTAGAAGCTACGGCCGACATGTATCGAACAGGTCTTGCATAAATTCTTGTTGCGCTAGCCTGCTTGTGTTCAAGCAGGGGAATGCACGAGGGCGAGTTGCTTAGTGGAGGGAGGGGCGGGGGAGCAGAAGGGCAACAAAGCCCAAACTGAGTTGGCACAAAAAGCGGGTTCGCCATGACGTAAATTTATTCGCATAGAAATCCCATTCTTCATTCACACGGTGCCATATCCACAAACCGGGCCGAGTCATCCGGCTGCGACAGTTGAACAGTATTTGCGGTTTAAAATTGCGTGCTTAGATTTTTACGTTTTGAAATTGCGCGCGTAAATGTTTGTTTTGAAATTGCGCGGGCATGATGTTTGCATTTTGAAATTGCGCGCGTAGGTCTGTTTCGCAGTTCGACGAAGAACGGAATAATAAGCGAGTTGTTTATTTTGCTACAGGACACGTTAGCTCCTTGATGCACTTAAAGATAGTAATTATTAACAGTAGAACTTGTTAAATCAGAAATGGCACAATAGAAGATGGTGTATAGTATACTTATACAACAGTAAGTATACTATACACCACCTTCTATAAGTAACAATAGAAGCTCGCAGGTTTCCAGCAAAAGGCCGATCGATTCGTTGATACGACACCAACGAAAGGAGTCGATTTAATTAATGATTGCCATTCGAAGGTTGATGAATGATAGGCTGTTTAAAAACCTCTCCAATGTACAAGTTTTATGGTAAAGTAAAAATTGGGCACTGTTTGTGGGCAGCGAATTCGGCCTACTAACACAGAAGTATAATGACGCTTACCTACTAGCGTGGTCCATAACGTGTAGCGTAGTTTCTCAGTTTGTTCTAATCAATAGCTATTCATGATGTATCATGACTTAGTGTACAGTTTAACAGAAGCACCAAGTTGAAACATAGATTTGTGGCCACATAGCTGTCAACAATATCTTCGCAGTGTTGCTGTTTTAAGTTTGCGTAAGCTTGGATATCAACACTACGCGCAGAGGCAACTATTTAGAGCAATAGTTGCTAGAACCAATCGTAATATATCGCGAAATATCCCGATTCGGCTAAGCAAGAATCTCAAAGTTAGCGATCGTAGACAAGCCTGCTTATAAGATTCCAGAAGAGATTAAGTATTTGGGCGAAAATGCAGAGCTATTAACTTGGCCGAACACTTACAAACGTGGCGTATTGTTGCCTGTACAGCTCGTATCGAAATCAAGATAATACCATTTGCAGGGATAGCAAAAGATGCAACGATCAAATGACAAAAAGAAACAAAAGAAAAGGAAGAATTATATTTAGTTGATGGATATTATTCTTGACTAACAGCAGCGGCAACGCGACCCACCCACAAAACAGTACACAATGGCGGCTCGAGCAGTAACCAAAGCAAAAAAACGTGTTTGTTAGCCCCTTGTCACGAATTGAACTACGATTTCTACTGTTGAATGAAACCGGGAGTGACTGCGCTTCTCAATTCCGTCCGCGCCTATGTTGAGCTGAACGGTCACGAACTACACAAACAGGCCAGTTGGCTAGTGCATACGCTCGGTCAATCGGGCGGATGGTTTCTCGGTCGGTCGCTCGTTATTGCTTCATGTTATAACAGGACGTACGTTACAGAACAGACTCGATGCTGACCAGTATCGTTTTCGTCATTGCCGCTTTCCGCATCGTACTGTTTATGCTGTTGTCTTCGCTCAAGCTGAATAAGCGAAGCACATATGCCTGGCGAAAGAATAGGAGCTGTTTATGATCGTAGAATACAATTATAAATATATATATAAATAGATCTAGTAACAGTGTTGACGACCCACGGAACGTCATGCGCACATGGTACCCGCTGATAGACCAGGCAGAGTAAACTTAAAGAGAATAGTGATGTGCAGTGTTCGTATACGTGCCGGTGTATTAGTATTACAGTGAGTATTATCTATGGATAGACGGCTGGATCCATATAATATTAAGCATTTATACGAGTTATAAGAACAAATCAGGATTTTATCTCGTCTAAGCAGGCTTCTACGCTGCTGCTGTTGGTTTCACAGCGGTTAACAGCGGAATGCATTTTGCGAGCGGGCGAGCAAACGGAAGTGATGGTGGCGGTATAATAATTATTTAGTTGACAAAGATGTTTTAGCCCGGGAACGAGACAGAGGCATGGAAATGCAATAAGCGTTATCAATAGTGGAATTGAAAACTGTCAAAGGAATAACACATACAAATTGAACGGGAAAAGAAACAGAAACGGCGCTGCTGTATGAAACAAAAAGGGGAGAAGGGAAGGGTGAGCACGCGAGATTTGCAAATGTGCACGTCCACGAAAGGACAGTAGAATGTCATCAGCAGCAGCATGGCAAATACGGTTTTGACAACGGGGCAAATATGCGATAGGTGAAGATTACTCCAATCACATAGAGATGGGCTAACGTATGCCATTGATTACACTGAGAAACTGAGAAAACGAAGAATATTGGAAT